TTATTGCTAAAATATAATTCATACTATATTATGAGAATCCTAAAGTGGCCAGTGCTATAAATAGTCTGTCATAATAATAAAGCAAATTATTAATGATGGAATCACACGGTGCTCAATTTCTTGCGTGCATACATGCATGTTGCTATACTTGCTTTGATGCATACAATTTGACGCTTGACAAATAACTATGAAATTAGCAATTGTTTCTTTTGATTAGCTTATGCCTTCATGCGAGGAAATAAGCTATAACTCAGGAAAATTAGATTTTTTTAGAGGCAAAATTGTCATAAATGATTTGTTTGCGAAAAGTTGTTCAAAATGACGTATTATACATACAACATACTAAAAGTCTTGACCACCAGCGAACTTGGAAAACTTGCTAGGTTCAAAAAACTCATCAAAAATGCGGTTTTTCAAAAATATCTCAGAAAGTATCCATTTTATCGAAATAAGGTTCATTATCAAAAAGAAAGCTGATTATAAACAATTTTATTTTTTTATTTTCGTCGGAGGTTGTACAATCAATACTTTCAAATAATAGAATTTTTTTTATTATGTTTTTGTGATCATTTCGAGAACAAAGCGATTTTTCACACTTTTTTGGTAAATATCTCCTAAATGTGCAATATGCAAATAATGAATATTTATACTAGGTAAAGTTTAAATTATAATAAATTCAGAATTACCACAGGAATTTTAAAATTCCTTAATTTTTCCAGGTTTTCCAGATAAAAATGGGAAATTTCCACGATGACCAATATAAAATATGTAAAAATTTTAACATTATAAAATATGTACAAATTTTAACATTATAAAATATGTAAAAAATTTTAACATTAGAATCAAGGATTGAAAAAGGATATAAAAGAGCTAGCTTATATTATTAAAAATGCAAAAGAAGCTTAGTAGCATAATAAAATTTTAGGGGCAAATTCAAGCCAACAAAAAATAAATTAGTATTGGAAAAAAGAAATTATGCAATTATGAAAGACAGCGATCAAATAAAATTACTGAATAAAATATAAATTTTAATTATTTTTTAAAATCGTTTAAAGTGCACAAATCTTGAACGTATTTGACTATAAACATTAGATATATTTTAAAAATTATAAAAATTATTTGGCATAGGAGCAGTTTAAGAGAATTACGAGCAAGTTCCAAATTCTAATATTTTTCCTGGTTTTTCATGACCAATTTTAATTTCGCTGACTTTTCCAGGTCTGTAGCAACCTTGTAAGTAGAACAATTGAAACAGGCAAATTTAAATAAGAAGAAATCATAAAGAGTAGATAAAAAGATTTTCCCATCCGAAAAATAAAATATGCATGAATCATTGTTAAAAGTACTTTACAGAATATAAAAATATGTTTCTTCTAAGTCTAGAAACTAACATGGAGGGGGGAGAGGAGAAATAAAATTAATGAAATTTGACAAAGACGACATATCAGTAATTTTCAAATGTCATGTGTAGTATCACGAAATGTCGCAAACGGTTTAACCGATTTTCTCCAAATTTGATAAGGAAGTAGTTTAGGAATAGGGTAGGTACCTTCAACAAGGTAATATCCTTGTTGATTTTTGAAGAAATCAACTCAGGGAAGCGATCAAGTAAAATTACTGAATAAAATAAAACCCCACGGGGAAGAGGGAGAGTTTTGTCATATGTTAGCATATTGCATGTGACGGGTCAGACAAAAACATTTGGTAATCTTTGGTCAGTTGTGCGTTTTAAACACAAGTTCCTTTGCTTCCCATTCGGGGAACTTGTTTAACGCACGCACGCATGCATGCACGGATGCACACACGCACGCACATAGTAGAAAAGTCCTCTACCATTTTGCATTGTTCGCATTAGTTAACGAATTACTAATTTATAAAAATAGTCAAATTGGCTCGGACTACCGCCAAATACAAGCGCGCGGCGAGATAAGACAAGTGATATTGGCATTAATGTGTCTAGCGATGGCGAACGCACGTCTTGCTAGGCGGGTTTACCTCGTCGCACGCTTACATTTGGCGATAACCCGATAGCAAATTTAGTTATTTTTATAAATTAATAATTCGTTAACTAGTGTGAAAAATGCAAAATGTATAGGACTTTTCTTCTCATTTTAATTCATTCTATCCCTATACAAGAGTTTTACTGTTAATTATCAAACATCCTGTATATAAAATTGTTACAATTCACTCAAATTTGGGTAAACATAAACATTTTCCAACATTCAAAAACAGTTACGCAAAAAAAGCTGATTATATCAGTTGACAATTGATCTGAATCTGACAATTTGTTGGTAACTTATTTTTGATATGCAAAGGGCACGCAAGCACGCACAGATTTTGTATTTGCTGAAAAGGTATTTGCTCCAAAGTGAGTCAAAAACAAATTGTTTGGATTACATCGTAAACTGTAGAATAGAGCAATTTTTTTTACTTTATTACTTTGCGTAATAACTGTGACCTGTTGGTACTCTCATTCACCCTGTTGGTTTCTATTTTTGGTTGTATATAAAATATTATTATATATTATATAATCTAACCTGAGATCGTATCATAACGTGCGTAACACGATCATCAGTCCGTACTGATAGTACAAAATCACCAGGTTTACTTTGAGACTCACGCACCAAGAAAGATCCATTTTTCCCACGTTCCAGCATTAACCGTTCTGCTTCTTTCGCTGACAAATGGCCATGGAACCACCTTTAATAGCATTTGACTATTACTATATGATATACTATACAATAACTTAAAATAATATTAACAAATATCAATTTTTTTAAAAAGGAATAAAAAGATCCAACATTATATAAATATTGTATAAAAACATTTTCTCATAAACAATTATAATTTGTACCTTTCAGTCGTAGGATCAGCACAATTGAGAGGATGTTTAAGCTCAATAATTTCACCATTTTTTTCGCGTAACTGTCCATCATTTTCCATGTAAAATTGTACCAATTCAGAAAGAGTAGCAAATTTTTCACCACCATAAAGATCATAGAAGTCTCCTGCATTTTTTATTTTAATATGAGTCACTTCACCGTTCCGTCTGAAAATAATGAAAATAAAAAAGTATCCGATTACTATTAAATTACGATTAAATTAATATATTTACATGATTTACAATTAATTTATATAGTGATATAATTTGAATATAGTTTTGTATTCACCTAACAGACAATGTAAAGTCACCAGGATTTGAAGAACTTGGTCGTGCTAAAAATGAACTGTCAACTCCTCGTTCCATTAACAAATGTTCCGCTTCTAAACCTGTAATATTGGGGTGAAACCATCTGCAAGTGGAACGTTATCTGTATTAATATTACTTCTATTACATATATTTGGTACTAAAAATTAATTGTACAATTCTCTGTTAAAAAAGGGTTTATTTATTCAAAATAAGACTCATTTACTCATATAACCGTGGGTTAGCTTAATTGAGGTTGATAAAAGAGATCCTAAGTACACTTGTATCAATAAATCCATGGGTATGTTCAGAAAGATATTAGTGTTATTTATGTTATTCTATCCTTGTTTTACATCTAATAAACGATGAAGATAGAATAGCTGCATTCAGCAAAAAAACAGCTTTACAACTGTTGTATAATAAGATTCTTTAATATGATTGATTTATACATTTAGAGATCCAGTGAGAAACTAAGAGTAAAACCAATCATACTAGGTGTACAAGTATGAAATGCGGATTTAAAAAAAAAACCACGTTAAATTCGGAAGAATGATAAAAAGAGCTTTATTCAAAGTATGCTCCATTGCTAGTTACACATTTTTCCCATCTTTCGGGCAATTTGTGGATACCACGCCAGTAAAAATCTTCCCCCTTTGCCGCGAACCATTCATCGAGCCATTTTTTCACATCTTCGTACGAACCAAAGCGCTGCTCAGCAAGTGCGTGACCCATCGATGCAAACAAGTGGTAATCGGAAGGAGCCAAGTCTGGTGAGTAAGCCGCATGGGGTAGAACTTCCCAGCTGAGTGCTTCCAACGTGTCGCGAACCGGTTTTGCCGTATGTGATGGAGCATTGTCATGAAGAAAAATGACTTTGTGTTGTCTCTTTTGGTATTCTGGTCTTTTTTCAAGCAGCGAACGGTTCAAATCGATCAATTGTTGTTGGTAGCGTCCAGCATTAACCGTTTCACCAGGTTTTAACAGCTCATAATAGACCACACCCTTCTGGTCCCACCAAACACAGAGCATCGTCTTTCTGCCAAAGCGATTCGGTCTTGCGGTCGATGTGGATGGTGCGCCTGGGTCTACCCATGATTTTTTGCGCTTGGGATTCTCAAAATAAATCCACTTTTCATCCCCACTAACGATACGATGCAAAAACGACTTCCTTTTGTATCGTGCAAGCAAAATTTCACATGTGTTTTTGCGCCTCTCCATCTGCCTGCCGTCCAATTCATGCGGTACCCATCTTCCAGTCTTCTGAATCTTTCCCATCTCTCGTAGGCGATTGGAAACAGCTTGTTAACAAACGCTCAATTGCTCTGCGAGTTGTTTTTGTGTTTGTGAATCATCTTCATCCAACAATGCTTGCAATTCCACATCTTCGTACCTTTTTGGCGGTTTTCCGTATTCCTTGTCTGCAACATCAAAGTCACCACTTTTAAAACGCCGAAACCATCGTTCACACGTATCTTGCGATGGAGCATGTTCACCATAAGCTTCTCAAAGTAATCGGTATGATTCAGCAGCAGTTTTCTTCAAATGAAAACAAAAAATTAATGCTGTCCGCGAATGCTCTTTGTTTGGTATAAATTTCGACATATCGAATACAGCAACACAACACTATGCAAACACTTTTTCAATTTATCATTTATGCGCGTCTGACACTTGTTGATGGCACTTCAAAATGGCATTGCCACACACTGCATTGATGCGCCATCTGTTTTCTCAAATCCGCATTTCATACTTGTACACCTGGTATTAAAGAATTTTATAATAATTGCAAAACTGATTTTTTCTTTCGCAGCTACGTTCAAGTCGAACAAAGCTGCTAGTCTATTTGCTGAACGATTGACTGTGGAATTGATTGGATCTATAAGTAACAACCAATCATGTTCATGTGCTTAGCGAGCAAACTAGCCGTTTTGCCAGCTTGAACATGCCCATTCATTCGCTCGGCGAGCAGACTAACAGCTTTGTCTGACTTGAACGCATCCATTAATACAAATATAGCACTGATTGTGGCTCTCTAAATATACCACATAAATGCACTTTATAAATTTATGGTAAATTCGATTGAAAATCACTCGCACTATGCTGGATCGAGTGTTATATTAAAAGCTTTATATAAAAAATATCTCAATGCAGTAATATAATATAATCAACTTAAATATCATTAATAGATAGTTAATCATTTGAAATATTTATATATTTTTACATTCAACTTTGCTAATTTTATGTACACCAGCTTTTTAGTATGCACTGATTTGGCGTAACGCAAGTGATCGAATCCAAGAAACCGAATTAGTCAATATACTTTTTACACATTGAAAACATCATATATTAAAAACATCTTGCATATAAAGCCTTAATCTTTAATTGTTAGTAATAATAACCAGGGAATGGAAATAACTCGTTACTTGTAACGAAGTTATAGTTACTTTTTTGGTAATTTTACTGTTACTTTTTTTCTTTGATAACGGTAACAAAGTTAAATTTTTTTGATAACGGTAACTAATTTTACAGTTATTTTTATCGTTACTTTGCACATGATTTTGGACACAAGCTACTTACAAATATTATATATGTAAAAAAATTTCTTTACATAATAGATGTAAAATAAATTACATGATTAGTCCTGTATATTATATATAAAAAAATCATACAATTTTACAGAAATTATGTAAGCCCACAAAAATTAAATTTTATTGTATAAGTTTTATTGTGTAAATATATCTTATATTGAAAATTATATAATAGCAGAATATTTTAAATATTTTCTGTAATCATCCAAATTTTAGTAATATTATATAATATAACAGAAATTTTTCGCGTATTGCTATTAAATGTATAATAATATATAATGCGAAATGTATTGTCATATTATCGTTCTTGTAACTACACATACACACTGTAATTGTACTTCCACAATCTGCTTAGTCACAAATCAAGAAATTATTTTTATTTGCATATTGCAAATTTACAAACGTGTGGATGTTTACAATTATTATAGTGGGTCTCAAAATGATCCACTATAATAATTGTAATTTTACATAATTTTTTACAGTGCATAGTGCTTGAGACTAGAGAAGCCCCTAGGCCTGGCCGCTGTGATTAGCAGTCGTAGATTTAAAAAAAAATAACGGAGAAAAAACGAAAAATTACTTTCTCAAGTAACGGTAATTGTAACGTATTACTTTTAAAAATCGGTAATTAATAACGGTAATTTGTTACTTTTTCTACTCGGTGACGAACAACTTGTTACTTTTAAAAAGTAACTTTCCATTCCCTGATAATAACGGCTTTAAGATTAATTATACTCAATTGGTCAATAGCAGTGTATTTAAGTAAGGGGATATAACAGATTAAAATTTTCAAAAAATCAAAAAAATTTTGTTCGGAAAATTAATGTCTTAAAAATCCTGAAAGATTTTTATAAAATTCGAAGTATTACTCAAGTTATGTGAGTTTGTTAAGAAACAGGTGCACAGTGCTAAATATGCAATATTGAAACGTGCAGTATAGTATTTTAAACGCGTTTTTCTCAAAACTATTTTTTTTCAACTGGCAGTGTCTATAACTCGAACAATTTTCGATCAATCGACCTTAGCTTTGAACAATAGCTTCATAAAACGAATAGTAATTACTTGAGTTCTCTACGCCGATGAACCATGTTTTTTGAACATGGAGGTCTACAATGCTGTGTATCATTATATATTTATATTTTGATGTAAAAATTCTTAAAATGTCTTCAAAGTGTGCCCAATTGATATACCAATTCATATTTTTTCTAACTTACAGTTAAAAAAAAATTGACAAAAAAAACTTTTTTTAAGGCCTTTGTTATACCTTCTGAGTTGTCCCAATTCTGCAACATCTTAACAATAGTTTGGTATCATTATGTTGTCATTGCATAAATATTATATATGGTAAAAAAACTACGCAACAACAATATAACGATATCTAACTGTTGCTAATAGGCTCTTTATAATAAACCATTATCTAAGCTTTATAATGTAAGTTTTAAAAGCAAAAAAAAATTGATTAATCATAGTCCAATGTGAGAAGAACAATAATAGACTACAATTAATCAATTTCTTATGACCTAAGATTTAAAGATTATGTAATAGCTTATTTTATAGAAGGCCCATTTTATAGAAAGCCCATTATATAGAATAAAGATCTAAGGCTACGATTCTGTAACTTGTTATAACGATAACAATATCATTATCGTTCTAACAAGTTACGCCTATAGTTCAGACTATTCACAGTAAGCATCAAGCAGTAGAGCAGCAATCAATCAGCGAGGCAAAATGTACAGTGGCATAAAAAATATCGCCTTGCTGGTTGATTGCTGCTCTACTGCTTGATGCTTGCTACATTCAGTCTGAACTAGGCATTAGGACCTAAGCACAAAGATGACCATAACTGAATTGTGAAACCTAAGTCATAGTTGTTTTGTAAGTCATAGGTTGATCAAACACTGTCTACTACAAAAAACCTATGACTATAATTCATGTTTCACGACTCAATTACAATCATCTTTGTACTGAGGCCTTAATGCTCTATTTCTACATTCATAATGAGTCGGTAGACTCCTATGGTCCCAAATCTTTATCAATGAATCGATAAAATTAGCCAACAGCCAACTTGTACAACTAATACAAGCGATTTTCTTAAAACTGGCCAACTTTATTCCTCCCGAGTTAGTCAAGCTAAATGACTTGCTGTCGACTACGATTAATAATTTATAGATAAAAAATCATAGTCACCATCATAGTATTTAAGACTTTTGATTACCGATTACCAACTCATTATAGAACTCTAGTAATGGGAAGAAATAAAGTTGAATTTGACCAGTCTTAAGAAACTCGGTAGTCACTTACAATTAGTCAGACAGTTGTACAGTAAGTTGGCTGTTGATCAACTTAACCAATTCACCACTAATGGGGATTGTCCCAGCCATCACCTAATCTTTAAATCTGAAGTCATAAGAAATTGTTTAATTTTAGCCGATTATTCTTCTGATTCATAGAGATTTGATTGTAATTGATCAATTACTTATAGCTTAAGATTTAAAACTTAGATAATTACTTATTATAAAGTCTATTAGAATATATTAGATGACTACTGACTACATAGTACTCAGTCAGTATGTATACTGACTCATAGTACAATCAGAATGCATACAGCAGATTGAACAAAAGCAACGAGTATAATAAATCGTATAAAAAATGATAACAAACATACAAATGCTGCACCTGCACTATACAACCAGGTGGTGACAATTCGTTCCTTTGTATAGATTTTCACTTGCATCATTCTCTCATAAAAAAAACGCAAAACGCAATTGTTATTCTTTACTCTCGTAATTAGCATGCATGAACCAATAAGAATGAAACACGCAGGACAGCATTTGAAATTGTGAGATCGCGATTGAATCATTAATCTATCGCGCCCGCGACCAAGGATCAGATTGCATTCGAGATCGCGCTTGTTTATACCGTTGTATCAGAACGATTGCTTACAATGCTTTTGCAAGTATCACTTTTACAAGGAGGTACGAGAGCTCAAATCGCGACAGATTCGCACAGTCTCGCAGCCGCAAAATTACACGTTTCTCATACGCGGCAAATGTCTCACCTGCGAGATACTACCATGTTGGAATTATTTGGACGACTCATGTCAATTATCAATAAATTATTCGAGTGACTCGTTAAAACGCACGCGGCTCGTATTGAATTAGATCATGGGACACTTAGCAGTTGGCAGCTTTCCGATCGTACATCAGCTCATCAGATCGAGAGTGATACGTTACAATGCCAACACATGTACACTGTCTGAATAACGTCCAGCCTACTCTGTCTACCAGCTAACCAGCTTGTGTGAAAACAAAAAAAGCTTTAATCGTGCTCGATGTGCATAGATAAGTCGCGTTCAATAGACTCATGGCTCTGGCTAAAAATGGCGATATACTATCGATATATCGAAATATCGATATCTTCTCAGTCAATATAAGGATATTTCTAATCGATATTCCAGCCTCCGATATTTTCAAAATTGATATTGAATTTGTATTATATCGGTTCAAATATTCGATATAAGTGAAACTTCTCTCTCTTTCTCTCTCGAATTTTTTTCAATCGCAAATCCTCGATTTTTCGATAACGCCGACTTGCGTCGATTATGTCGCATGTGTTGCAACTCAAGCGACCAATCAGAGACTCGCATTTGTATTGCGTGGTTAATACACAGGCGCTGACAGTAGCATATTATTGCGACAACCGGCATTTTCGAAAGATCGATAAGTTTATAGGTGCGTTCGACAATGTAAATCTGATATGCGAGCTAGCAGATGGCCAGCCTGATCACGTGATCTTCGAACAATCCGAGTGCCAAGAATTAATTCCAAACGCTACAGAGCTGTAAACTGTCTTTTAAGGTTAAATTACAAAATGAAATGGTTTATTTTTATGAATAAATAAAAAATACTCGAACTTTAAATACGAAGCGCCTTACAGTTCCGAGTGTTAAGATGTTGAACTAACATTTATTTAAATTGAATTAAATTAAAAAATACTCTATTAATTGAAAATTTCTTTTGCTTTACTACAGTAGAAACTGATAATAGTCTCATATAAATAGATTGTTATCAGAGAGAAAACTACACTGCAAAATAAATTTCTGCAATTTATAAGTTATATCACTTGATTTATTCGTTAGTGTCTTTAATATATTATAAAGAGGAAAAGAATTAAAAACTTACTTTGCTCATTAAATATATTGTACATAATGTACTCCATCAATTTCTATTTAATGACATTATTATAAATATACAGGTTATAGATTTAATTTAGGCACAAAACTCTGCATTAGCTCTGCAAGTTCGGTCTTTGAATCCGGAGTGGATCAAGCAACTCGATTGGCTCTAGAAATGTTAATATCGAACGCAGATGAGATGACATGTAGCAGAAAGATGCGAGTTGCCGAACGATTTTCGAGGTAAAAGAGCAAACGGACGCCTCCGATTTTCAATGCCACGTACCTTGTATAGTAAACAGGTAGATCTTCAACTTCTTCAAGTATTTCGTTTACCGCGTATTTCGTTTCAGCTTACATTATCTCGGGTAGTATATTTTTCGAAAAGTGTTTCGAAAAGTGCCGATTTTGATTGCACTTTTAGATCTCGTATTAAGATTCTTCTATTCATCTAGACATGCGTGCTCTGACATACTCGTGCTCACTCAAACGACGTGTTGAAATGATAAGAACATGTTTGAGCGTATTGGAGTGCAACGCAAATAAATCTATAATTTTTTTTTGTTAAAAAAAACTATATTGTATATCGATATTAGTCTATCACCCGTATTCATAGTCCTTCCTTATTTTAAGGATGGGGGGAAAACCTCCATGAAAGATTCCTCGATTCTCCAAGGCCTCATTGTTTCATAAATGGATCTCAAGTCTGCCTTCCCGGAGAAAGGAATATTTCAGGGATTTTAATAACTTACTGAAGGCAGCATGTCATAATATATAGTACATGCAAACCTAATATCATGAATTACGAATAAGCTCAGGACGCTCGCACGGAATGCAAGAGATCCGGGTTCGACTCCCGGCCGAGGCAATATTTTTCGCAATAAGTTTATTACAGTTTTTTAAGATTTGGGAGAATTTGGGGGGATTATTTGTTTCAGATTGATTGTGTGAATCCGATAATTTCATCGGCTCTCAATTTATTTCTGAAATATTAATTCAATTTAATTGAATGTACATTAGATAGTAGTTCAACATCTTAACACTCGGACCGGGAAGGCGCTTTGTATTTAAAGTTTTAATTTTTATACTTAAATTAAATCAGTGTATAACGGTTTTAATATGCGTCAGTGCTTCCAATTGGAGTCATAATGCTTATTATACGAAGAAAGAGAAAATACTTTTGACACAGTTCATTTAAAAAAAAAAAACTATCGAAAATAATTATCAATGCGAACAAATCTAAATTAAAAGCTATCGAAAATAAATAGAAAATAAAAAGACCAGGTGACGAACTAAATTTGGTGGTTTGATAGGTTATAAAGGCTGCACTTCCTCGTCAAAGAAATTCGTAATCTTCCTTGAGAAAAGGAAGCTAATAAGGTTCCTTGTTTGGTCAAGGAAAGTTTATGAAACGTGAAATAAGGAACAAGGAATTTTCATTCCTCAAGGAAGGATTATGAATACGGGTTTATATTGCTATTTTGTCAGGCGATATTTGGCTGCATCAATATACGGGCCGCTGATACATTTCAATATTAAATTTCGATATTTTCAGAGCGATATCCTATTCCTAACTCCGGCACACCAGTGCGATATTTGTCTCGCGCAACACGCGATATCCAATGAGAGTATACCTTTAGAATGAAAACATCGATAAAGCTGTACACTCATTGGATGTCGTGTGCGACGAACATCGCGCTGATGTGCCGGAGACATTAAGATGCAGCCAATAGAAGGAATAAACAATTAGAAATAAGGAATAAGACTTTCAACCTATTAGATATTGGATACATTGAAATACATGATTTCTGCGGAACGTGATTGCCTGATTGGTCGTGGCTTCAGAGAATGCTTGCACAGAATGACACTTGTGTCGACTTGCATCGACTTGTGTCATCGAATGAAAAACATACAGGGTGGACTCCCATGAGATGCAGATCCACAGTATAACTAGGGCTGCGTTCAAGAATTACGCCTAGATAACTCTAGAATGCATTTTTAGTATAATATACGTGATGTAACCTATAGCTTAGAGTTATCTAAGCGTAATTGCTAAATACAGTCTACTAGAGACACTTCGTGTCGACACCTTTGATCTCCGTGTCGCTAATTACGTGAGCATCTGCTATGTTAATATTTAAAAAATCCAGGGTCGAATAGAAAATGTAATTCCTTATAAATAATAATGTAGTCACATTATTACTGCATTAATTAATACTGCACGTAACATAACATTACTTTATTTTATCTATTTTTTTATATTTAAAACAGCTCCTATAAACTGTCTTCTTCTCTGTACACAATACATATGGGATGCATGTGATAATGGATCATGCGTGAAACAGAACCTTCTTCTTCGTTTTTAGTTGGCCTTGGTTCTCTTAACGAGATTCACTTGTCCAGTCGTACTAGGCACAGTTAAAGCCGGCAATGCTTTTCAAAAATGATACAATACTTGAGGCGGGACAAAACACGTCCGCCTCTTACTATTGTGAAACAGAATCAATAGAACGCACTCAACCACAGACTTCTATATACTACTAAACTGCTAACTTGTTTGAAAAAGTGATTTTTTGTAATCCCAGTTTGATGTAACATTATACGCATGTGCCGAGAACCGTTTTGCGTGACCACGTGACGTATATCTGTACATGCGCACACATCAGCACACTATTTTGACAGGTTAACCTAATTTAACAGTATTAAAACTACCAAATACTTATTTTTATAATCCAGTTATTATAAATTATTCTAATTTATAAGAAATTGAATAAGATTGCATCTTTTATACACGTTTACTAATATAAAATTTTCTTTCCAATACCTTTTTACTTAAATTCTTTCTCTTCCAAAAAAAAACAAAATTTTTCGCATAAGATCATACCACTTTCATAAGGTTGTACGTTTAGCATATAAACAGTTAATGCAAAACACAGCCATACTGCATTCTTTTAGATTCTTTTATTTTAGACTATTTTATTTGTGACGCATGCGCAGAACTACCATACAATTTCGGGGTTCATTTCACATAAACTTGTTCTAAGGCGTTAGCAGTCTATAGAAGCAGTATATATAGAAGTCTGTGCACTAAACGCAGCCATATACAGTCATAGACTAAAAGATTGCAACACTTTTTTTCGATAGGTTTCGGAATACAACCTACTTACCGAGCGATTGATTCGTATGGGCCTTCTACGATAAGCCATTAGTCATAAATCAGAAGTCAGAAGCTAAAAATTAACCAATCACAGTCGTCAATTTTTAGCTTCTGGGAGCTTTTTACGATTCTTGAAACGAGGTGAAAATTACGAAAGTGATCAAATTTATTAGAATATTTATAACTTCATTGGTTAATGAAGCTGGATTTGAATTGTGACGGAGTGGAGATAACGCCAGCTTTTCAACGCTCGCATGAAAAAGCAGCTTTACATAACGAATAACACATAAGACATAAGAAATCTAATCAATCAGAGTTCTTTATTTGGAAAGGAAGGAAACAAAGAACTTTGATGAATATATTTTCTTATGCATTTATTATGTTATGCAAGAGTCTGATGTGCTCTCCGCTTATATCTGAAAAAGGATATGACGGCCAAAACTAAAGAGTAAAAAGAAACAGGAGGTTCTAAACAAGCGATTGGAAGTGACTATATATACTAGCATAAAAAGTGAACGCTTAAGATGGCTGTCATGACGTATTATATATCTGTTCGTGGATTAGCTACTCCCACTGTTAATACATTCCTTCCTATTTCTCTTTACTCTTTGAGTATACATTAGTATACGTACAATAAAACATAGCCTCCAAAATATAAAATTCTCATTATTACTAACAATAAAAGGTTATCTCATAATTTCGAGCTGAAAGAAGTTGTTACATCACACGCCCAGCAATGCATCATAGTGTTCTTTGCAATATTTATTAATGTTACGTCCTATAGACGCCACGATTCTTTTCTTTTGAAAGAGTCGGCTCCACATCGCGATTACGGTTGGCGTCTACGAGACTCGAGTAGAACCCTGATAACGATCTGAAAGAACTGAAAAGAACCGAACAAGCTCCGCGAAAATTCGTAAACGCCAATCAACCCGTAAGGAATAACAACATTAATGCAGGCCTGAAAAGTGGCAAGA